GAGCTGAAACAGCAGCTCCACATACAGAGTCAGAAACAGGGCAGAGATAAGTGCTGTGGGGCATTTCATCCTGGAGACTGGCTGTCCTTCCAGCAGGAGGCTGTCCAACTCTGCTCTCAGGAACACTACGGACTCTGAGAGTTTCCCAACAAATTCCCCCAAGTTGGATTTTTACAACCTATAACTAAGAGAGTCCTAACATACTCTAATTGACCCCTGGACTCAAATATTCAGTTTCCTTTATCTGTTACACAGCACTATGAATAACTACCTTCACCCACAACCATCTCCTCCTCTCACTTCAAAGAAGCAATATTCTGAGGTTACAAAAAAAAAAATTCGACTTAATAGTGGGGACACTGTGAGGGAACAGTTTACCCCACCAGCATTGATGGCATTCTTGGTGGATATGGCCTATGGTGAGGTGTGGAGAGTTCAGGATCAATCTTTCATTCTAAACCCTGAGAAGAAGACCTCTGGCTGTGAGCAGGGCTCTCCTGGAGAGATGTTAATCTTTTTAAGAAGTATAATCAAGTCCTGGGAAAATGAGAAAGGAATAAATTTGAAATCGTCCTGCACAGTTTTCATAGAAGATTCAAAAATGATTCTAACTTTTGTTAGAGTGTAAGGAGCAGTGATTTAAGAAGTAGTGTTAAAACTGAGGCTTTGCTGCATAGCACACAACCTTCTGCTGGACATTTATTAAGGACTGACAATTGTCTGTATGAATGCTTTTCAGCTCAGAAGCCTCTCTCAAGGACTTGAGAACCATGCTCAGGAATGTAACCATCAATCAATCAATCAACCAATAAACAAACAAACAAATAAGACCTCAGTCTCCAAGACTCCACGGGAAGACAGAATGCTAACTTTGATAATTACCAGATAGTTGGCAGAGTCATATTTACACTAACCAACCCTTTGTACTTTTTATTTCTCTGATTTGGAATGCCCAAACTCCCCTAGTTACATGCTCTTGGTTGACTTTTAAAAATCACTAATATTGAAGTCAAATAGATGGGCAATACATTATTAGTCCCCACTAGCTGTGCTGTAGGGAACGCCTCTGATGGGCCATGATGATTTCGGCTGCCTAGGTTACATTTCAGGGACTTAAAGTCCCCTTTGTTGAAATCACCGATTCTTCATTGGGGTCTGTGCAGGTGTCTAATGGTGACCTTTTGACAGAAGGGAGCTCAAAACTCTACCTTCAGATCATGCTAAGGTCTCCATTTTCTGAACATGTGTTCCATGAAAAGCCATGAATTGACTATGCATGCAGATGCTGGTTATTCCACCTAAAGTTCCTTTCCCCACACTTTAAATCACCCCACTTCCTTATCCCATAATATCCCTAAACTTATCCTCAGGGAGGTAGACATGAGATCTGTTTTTCCAACTCCATATTTGACTGCCTTGTGACTAAACCTTTCCTTTTGCAAAACTGGTCATTTCAGTGATTAGCACCCTGCATGGTGGTAAAACCACTGGCTTGGTAATAAAATGAACATGCCATGCTAGAAGTGGAAGCTGCTGCTTTCCTTAAAAAAAAAAAATTCCTAGAAGAATTTTTCTGGCTAGTGTTTATAACTGTGGTAAAGAACTGTTTGAATGAAAATAAAGTAACAGAAAGACAGGAACAGAAAAGTTATTCTCTGGCCTCTTGATTCTACCATTGTAGTAACAGGGCCTGAAGGCTAAGGCCTTCTTTAAAAATGCTGGGTTTATTATTCAGTATGAGGAGGCCAGCAGATCAGGAGATGACTTACAGATTCTACAGGGGACATATCACACCATTCAGGGCCACATTGGGGAGCACCAGGGTGGGTCAGGAGGTAGAGGGAGTAAGAAAAAACATGGGCAAGAGCCTTTACTGTGTTTTTGCTGGAAGAAATGGGCAGGGCAGGCAAAAATCTGGGTGGGCTTAGGATTGGCTACTTTGAACAATTTCAGTGGGCTCTGGAGTATAGGGGTGTTACCACTTGTATGGTAACTAGCCCTGGGGCGATCGTAGCAGTGGAATATTGATGAGAAGTGTGAGAGCTGGCAGAAAAGGTGGTGTGGTGTGGGCTCTGGATTGATGGTTACCATCTGAAGTTTATGCCTGCAGGTGATTATCTGCAGGAAGTGGTCAATTCTGGGAGGGTCAGTGGGACAGGCCTTCATTCTGTAAAAATCTGATCTTTAGGTATCTTCTAATTCTAATGAAATACTGAATTCTATCTACTGTTCCTCTTTTTTGGATGTAATATTAATTTTTCAGTATTACACACACACACACACAGGGGATTGAACCAAGGGCTATGCAAGCTCTACTGTGGGGCCCCTTGGGTGTATTTTTATTTATGAAGTATTTACAGTGATACTTAGCAAAGTAGGAACTCTTATCTCAAGGCAACAATGTGATTAAATGCCCATTGAATAAATAGCCACAGAGAAAATGCTACCCAAAAGTATTTCCAGGAAAGGTAGCTGGGTATCTGAGAAGGTGGGGGGGTCCTAGGAACTGTCACTTCCTGGTCCTGAAATACTTTGTGGACAAGGGACTGCCTGAAGCCATGACTGCCCTTCACCTACACTTTGCACCACCCAGCTCCTGTGCTTATAAAGTCTGTGTGTCTGGATCTTCACAGGATAGTGGTGGGGCTGAGTAGATAAGGACCCCAATTTGACCCAAGGAAATGGAGACTGAGGGGTAGAGGGATCTGCATAGGAGTGGGGAAGTACTGTGACTTCTTGAGGGATAGCCTCCTGCTTGTGCTGCTAGCCTCCCTCCTTTGAGCTTTGCACTCTCAAGTGGCTTCTCCAGATGCGAGCCTTGGTCCTTCCCACTGATCCCTCACCCCCACCTCCATCACAGCAGTTCCAAATCCCCCTCCACAGGATAGGCTCCCTTGACCCCTTCCAAGTCCTAGCTCATTTCCAATTTAGGTCAACCTCCCCGCCATCCAAGTTGACTCCCTGCTGTCATGGCCCCCAAGTTTTCTCCCAGTGTTCTTAGTACTCTGCATCCCTAGTGCCTGACTTAGTATTTAACATCTGCCCCCTATTGCCGGTATACTCTCAGGTCTGTTCAGCTGCTCCACCCACCCTCGCTGTCCTCCCTTACTGCTCCCCACTGTGGCTCAGTCTCCTGAAGGTGACTCTCAAAGCCTTTCCCCCAGAGCCTAATGTTCCAGAGCCAAGCCTCAACTTAACAAGGCTCATACTGTGGTTGTACTGTATACTTTGACACTACTTCACATTAACCCACTCCCACCCACCAAGAAAAAAACTTGGGGGGACTGGGGGAGAGAAGAGTCCTGCAATAGTTTGAAGCCATTGTTCTAATCTCAGCTTTTATTGCTAGTCTCTCAAAGAAAGACAAGGCAGTGCAGTGACATCTCCACAACACCCTCAGGTCCCTGAAGCCCTCCTGCACTTTTTCTGGTTTTTCCACCAGGCCTGCCCAGCACAATGCAGGCTTTTCTCTCACCTTTGCCTCAGCTGGTGGCTCTGCCTCTGGGTCAAGATTGTACCATCCTTCAAGGCTATCTTCTGTCCTCCTGGTGTTACCATCACAGCACCCAGGGTTCCATGCAACTGTATCACCTCCTGACACTGCAAGTGGCTGATGGGAGGATGCAAGCATGCCAGGTAGGAGGGCTCAGCAAATGCCTAGCAGATGTTGACAGGAGCCCCACCATCTCCACATCATCACAAGGAGGAACTAAGCCACTTCTGTCAAAGTGGCAAGGAGCATGCTCCAACAGATGGAGGCCAAATCAACATGGCTGGCCAAAGCCTGCTACAGACGTCATTAGAGTGATGCCGTGCAGCAGAAATACAGGGCGGACTTTCTACAGTTTCAGCTGAGATGGAAATGTGCTTGAAAGTCCTGAAGGCCCTCTCTCTTTTCTGTGTGGTACTGGGGTTTGAACTCAGGGCCTCACACTTGCTAGGCAGATACTCTACATCTAAGCCATTCTGCCAGCCCTCATTTTTTCATCATGCTATTTTACTGTACATGGATTATGTGAGACTTTCTAAAACAAAAATTTAAAGAAATCATATAAAGGAAAATTGAGCATTGAGGGCCTAATTCTTGAAGGAGAATTTTTTACTTAATTAAGGCAACTGTACTGAAAAAGATTTTAAAGTGCCCTACCACAAGAGCCCCTTTCCCCCCTCCAAAACCCACTGTATAATTGCATGATGATTAAACTGTACACATTTCTTCATTTAAGGGATCTTGGAAATTCTGGAGCAAACTCCTCAATTTAACCCTTCACTATGACCAAGGAGTCCGGTTCCTGGAACCACCTGCGTGACCAGTCTGATCTGACCACGGCTGATTACAAAGACTTTACTCAGCAGATCTCATGAGGGAAAGCAACTTATTCGAAATGGGCTTAGCCTTTTGCTCCTAATCACAGTAACGAACTAAAGGCTTGACTGTGACCTTCACTGGCTGCCACTCCCACATGTTCCAGCTTGGCTGAGCTCCTGATACAATCAATTCTGTTATTCTGAGTGCTCTAACCTCTCAACTTCAAAAAGATGTTGTTAAGAAGTGCCATGGGGGAAAACAATAGAATGAGGCAAAATGAGTTCTAGCTTAGGTCTAGCATTAAATTAGCAATGGTGGCTCTGGTAGATTTTTTAGTCTTTGAAAATGAACCTTCTGAACTGCAAAATGAGGTAGCCTGGACTAGATTTTGCCAAGTGTTCAAGTCCAGTATGTCACAATTTTTATATTATAGTTATCTTTTGAAAAAGTTAAAAAAAAAATGAAAATAGCAGAATGAAGCTAACATTCTTTTTATTATGGTAACCTTTACAAAGTAGTATTTAAAAATAAATCACCTCACAAATGAAGAGCTTCAAAAGTGCTGTCCTCACATGGGCCAGCAGACACTCATCATGGTCCAATATGTAGCACACACACACACACACACACACACACACACACACACACACACACACACACACACACACACACACACACACACACACACACACACACACACACACACACAGAACTGCTCCTCGCCTCTTGTGTGAAAAGCCTCAGCGCTTTTTCCAGGTAAACTTTCTGCGGGCTCCCTCCTGGCCTGGTTTCTTCCGTTCTCGGACTCGTGGATCAGTAGTAAGTAGTCCAGCTGCAGCATAAAGAGAACCTTTATGAGCCATGAAAAATGTAGGCTGCCTGGCAGACATGTAGGTGAACTGCATGAATTTATAGCTACTGTTGTTAGAAAAAATCAGAGAGAAGCAACTGGACCTGTAATAATTTATCAACCCCGTATAAATCTCAAGACAGCAGCTTGCTGTGCTTTCACTCTTTGGGAATAGTTTTTCCAATTTCTGAGACAAACAACAGTGATGTTATATGGGTCTATTTTCCTTGTCCTGTGGGAATTCTGACTCCTTTTTGGTTCTTACACTTGTTCCATTTAAGATAAAGGTACTCTCTTATGGCCAGTCACTATTCACTGTGATGGAACCTATCATGCATGCTTACTTAGTACCAAAGTGTAGTATGATGAGTAGATTATAATGTGCGATCTGAATGACGTGAGAGTACATATATGAAACGGATCACTTTAGTACTAACGCGTGAAATGCAACACTAGACTATGCTATTCCTAGTGCAACTAACTAGTTGATCAATCTAGTCCAATGACGTGGCGCATAAAACAATATTTATATAAATGAATATCAGTTCCTCCTTTTTTATGTAGTGAGTGAGAGGTGACATGAGAACTAATAGGAGTGTGCATGTTTAGTGTTCAGTTCCTAGACTGGCCTCATTCTCAACTCTTTGTTCTAGGCGAGACTCTCCTCTCAGATAGGTGTAGCGAGTGTTTAGATAGCATGGTTGATATATCACTCTCTCATAACCCTGGCTTTTCCTTAATTTAAACTGAAGAAGTCTTACATGTAGTGTGCCCAATACTATGTGAGTGCATATTTTCTCAGCGCTTGGCTGTAAGATAATAATTAAGTTTAAATACAGTGTATTGAGATATTCCATTCTGAAACGACAGTTGCCGACTGCAAAACATCGTACCCCTAAGTCAATAGATATAATCCTCTCAAGTGAGATATGTTCTCTGCAGGCATATTCGTAACATGAGAGATATGACTGCGTTAGGCTAAGATTGTATCACAAGATGTTAAACATAATAAGAAAACCACATAGCCAAAAGTGATAGATGCGAAAGTGCGGACCATGTATTACCCGCGATATAAAGAAATTTCTCATAAATATGCAGCTTTGCCATTACATATCTACTGAGTAAAATAAACAGGTATCCATGGTCTTTTTACGAATATAGTTTGCCACTCCATTCGGGTTGTGTCCCCAAGTTTCCTTGTTTCTTTTTACTTTTCTAACACTAACACTTCTCTTCATTAGATACACGGCTTTGATATTTTATTAGGGATCTTTTAATGGCCTGATAGCAAAGGAAAACCTAAGTTACTATATAGCCAGCATGCATGGAATAAAACAATAATACTTTGGACAAAATACATGTAAGACTTCTATCTAGTTTAAATTAAGGAAAAGCCAGGGCATAATGGTATACACCTGTAATCCAGCACTTGGGAGACTGAGGCAGGAGGATGGCAAGTTTGAGGCAAGTCTAGGCTACAGACAAGACCCAGTCTCTTCCCCCCCACCCCTAAAAAAAGAAAAGAACTGAAGTTATAATGTTTTTTTACTTTGTTGATATACACATGGTTCAAATAATAGAATGATTAGTCAGGTCCTATCAAATTATCTTAATGAGTAGACAATGAATATCCTATATAATGGCAAATTACTTAGAAAACTCAAGTAGCCTAGGCCATAGGCAGTGCTTATATTCAACCCAAGTGGCTGGACCATCTACGGGGCCAGAAGAACTGTGGACCAAGGCACTTGCTGAGTCGCCCAGGCCAGTGCAGCTGCCTGCAGTACACATTGTACTTTCTGCCGTTGATAGACACCAGCCTGATTTATTTAAGTAGTGCCCTGATGCAAGAATCCATGGCATATTCTGTTCCCTACCTTGTGGGGTCTCTTGCATTCATGCCCAGGTGACAGGGTCACACAGAGCAAAAACAAAACAAAAAAAAATTCAAACTAACATCACAAGAGAAAAAAAATTAAATCCTTCAATAATTTTGGAAGTACCTGAAGTCATTAGCAAACCATCATTACACTTTTGTCTGGTAAAACAAAAATACCCAATTTGCCTCAAATACAAGGGAATTATCAGTTAAGTGGACAAAAGGTTGTACCTAATGCCAAAGTAAACTCTCCCTAGCTTTGGGACTGAGTATTTCAGCAGGGTTCAAGTAATCATAATCATTGTGAGTGTGCTTCTTTCTTGTTCTAATTCAAGTTCACTTTATAGAACTCAAACCTGAAAGACTCTATGGCTGTGCAGCATGAAAGGTGCAACAAGCAAGCTGTGATGTCCCATGTTTAAGTATTCTTTCACTAAGGAAACACTTGCAGAGAGCACTGGGACAACAAGGATCTTCAACCTTGAACGCATACCTTGTCTCATCCATTCGACCTCATCCTCGGTGATGAAACTGCACAGGGCTTTAGCCATGGCCAGGCGGATGGCTCCTGCCTGTGCTGATCTCCCACCCCCAGAGACAGTGCAGGTCACATCATGTTTTCCAAGTCGGTCAAGGAAGTGAAAAGGGAACATCAACTGTTCTCTGAAGCACAACACAAACACATGGAGTTAAGTCTCCTATAAAGATATATGATTTCCTGGGACGCATGCCAACTTTACATGTCATTGTTCTTCTCTATCAATATATTATACCAAGATATAGAAACACTAGTGCTTCTGTTTAGATTGCTGTGCTGAGGGGTGAAAGGCTTATGTCTCCTTTTATGGGTATAAAAATACACTATATAGAGAGGATAGCATTCCCTTATCTCATTAGAGCTTTGCAAGGTATGAAAATAACCTTGTAAAGAAGTCATCAAGTTGGAGGACTCCATTGATCAACTGAATCATCCTCTCTGGACTTAATGATCAAATACAAAATTAATAAGCCTACTCAAGCAATTACCAAATGCCATTTGGATTTACTAAAGTATAGTGCGGAGTGTGTGCTTAGTGTATAATGTGCATCTTGATATGGTAACTTTAAGTTACCGAAACTACATTTAAGACTGAACACTTTCCTACCAAAAATCACATGTTCCTGTTGTTCTCTAAGCCATGCAGTCAATCAGGTCTGTTCCTCAGGATGGCAAACACTCCCATGATCCCAGGAAGCACTATGGGGAAGGCTGTCAACACGGAAAATGGCCCAGGGCCTACTCTCGCTCAGATGAACAAGCATTTGTAACACCATTTATGTGCCAGGTATCATGTCAAGGCCTTTGATTTCACCTTCATATCTCAGATAATTTTTATTTACTTTCTTTTTTTTTTCTTCAGTATTGGGGATTGAACTCTGAGGCTTCCTGTGTGCTAGGCAAGAGCTCTGCCACTGAGCTACATCCCCAGCCCTGAATTTTTATTTAGAAAAGTCCATTTATATTGCATTTGCTTGTTTTATTTGATACTGTGGCTTTCTAGACCCCAAATAAAGCTTAACAATTAAGTTGAGAGGTGTATAAAGCAGGTCATTCAAATGCGACTCTCCCATTACATGAGCAAAATAATCTCATGTGGACTGACTCTCCAAGGCCATAGGAAACTGAACTCATACCAATACTATACAGGGACAGACCTACCTCAACAACAAAAACCATAAATCTATACTGCCTTTTGGACCAATGCTTCAAGCAGCCAAACCAAGACTAGTCACATTCTAAAAAACAGTGCTATTGCAAGTAGTGGCCATAATATGGTAACTATAGACTGACAACTGATAATCCAATTCCACTACTGCATGACAGAGGCTATGGTCCTGTCAAATGTACATGCCAGGGGTGTCTCTCATCACCAAAGAGATAAATGGGTTTGTAATGGAAGTAAAGTTACAAAGAGACTACTAGATGGTATTTGTTTGGGAGTTTAAACACTTGTCTGTCTTAATTCCTAAAGTTTTAAGTTTCCCTAACACATGCTTATGTAAATAACCAGCTAAAAGTTAGAAAAATACATTTCATAGTCTGATTCTAAAGATATACCAGAGTAATGAAGCAAGAGTGGTCAAGGTAAGAAAGAACCATGAAGAAGAGTATGGACAGTTGGAAGTTGGTACAACCCCATTTTTTTCATTTGTTTACAAAAACAAATTTGTTAACAAATGAAAAACACTCCAAAAGATTAACAACTGCAAATGATGATTATACTGCAATCACTGTTTTGTGGGCAGTACTGGGGTTCTGAGCTTGGGGTATCAAGCTTACTGGGTAGAAGCTCTACTACCATTTGAGCCATATCCCTAGCCCCGCTTCGCTTTGGCTGTTTTTCAGGTAGGGTTTTGTGTGTTTGCCCAGTCTTGCCTGGACTGCAACCTTCCTACCTATGCTGGGATTATACACATGAACCACCATGCCTGGCTTATTGATTGGGATCTAACTTTTTCCCCTCTTTGGCCCCAAATCTCCATCCTCCTGATCTCTACTTCTAATGGACCTAGGATTACAGGTGTAAGCCACTGCACCTAGACCCTGATATTACTTTTAACTATACTGGACTGAGAACCAGCACAATGCAAAAGCAGTTATATGGCACGAAAATATTTCACAATACTTTCATCTCTCTTCTCAGGGATCTCAGATGAATCCTCAGTTAAAAAAACCCATTAGTATTGTTCTTGGTTATACAAATCAGCTTAAGTTAAAAAAAAAAAAGTAAATAAATGATTTCCTCATTCTTATTTTCTCTGACTGGTACTCTCTAGTACCAAATACATTCTCTCTTATTTTTATGTAATTGGTTAAGATGCTAACCATGTCTCCTCTATTACACAGTTATTAGTGTTGTGTGAGGAATGTATTTCTTTGAGATGGCCATTAAATGTTGCTTTATTGGTTGCCTAACAGAGCAAAGGCCTTTCCAGAAAGGCTATCGACCTTCAATCCACAGCACCAGGTGCAAAGCAATACATGTTTGCTATAAACATGAACAAGTGAATACAACATTCTGATAATATGGGTAAGGCTACACTGCCTTCTTTCCCTCTGACCAGCATGCTGTTTGTGAAAAACTTTCTCCCAAAAATGTCCCTGGAAAGAGAAGTAGGCAGTTTAACTGACTGTGAGGTAGATATCTCAGAGATCATGATGTTCAGTTCCCTCCTCCCAACTGGAGATGTGATCTTGAAACATTTTTGCTAAGGTCTTAGCTAGGAAACAGCTAGAATTGATATCCCTGATCCTTGGCTCCGCTGTCTTTCTGTTGGCCAGTGGTCACTTTGCTGCGGACTTGTGAGCCCCTGTCCACTCCTCCAAGAGGAAAGAAAGGCCAGTCCATGGCTAGCAGGGCTGTCCTAAGCCTCGATAGCTACTTAAAACAGAGAGAAGGTGTGAGCACCTATTCCCACTAAGACTAGCATTAGGTTTCCTAATGAGGTGTTCCTTGATGAACAGGAATTGTATTTCAAATGGCATAGATGAGAGTGAGCACAGATGATCCTGAGTAAATGCTGTGCAGTTCAAGTGAAGAAAAAGATCTAAGGATATAACTGGACAGCTCAAGGTAGCCAGAGGTGAGGCTTTCTGTGCAATCAGCAGGAGGTATAACCGAATACAAAGTAACAGCTAGGCAGTTCCTCCTTGCAGTTTCCAGTGCTCAAGTTCCCAATCCCAGAGGCATGAGCCTCTCTCTGTCATTTCCTGAACTTCCTCCACTCCTTTCTCTGTGGGGATGATGGCAGAATTAGTTTAATTCATATTAAATAGAGTGAAGAGTAGGCTACTTCTTGACACAAGCACACACAAATACAATAAGCATACATTTCCAGAGGTAATGATTCTCTCTTGAAGCTTACATGGCATTAGAAGGGCCTGTTTCCTTACACAACAAGTATTGGGAGCAGAGAAGCTTCAGCTCTCTTGACCTTCAGGAAACAGGAGGATTCGGAAGGAGGAACAAATCACATGGAACTTCTGTTACTTGTGAACTACTGCAAAGATAACGACTGTCTCAAGAAGAGGCCTATGAAGTGACTCACAGAGAGCTTGAAGGGGATTAGAAGAATTGTGCTATCTGTCTATGATGCATGTCTATTTCTCTGTGTGATATAAAATTTAAGAAGCATAGCTCACATTTAGAAATGGGAACTGAGAGGTGCTGACCAGCTGTTTTAATCTGTGAATGTTGGGGTCTTTGCTTGCTCAGTATATGCACAAGCAATTTCCTCTAAAAAGGAAAGAGTCCAAAAATGGTAAAGCAGCCCTTTTCTAATATTTATGGTCAGGAAAACAACCATAGCACAGAAAATCTGTTCGTGTTTTTCCTTACCTAGGGTCTAAATGAGTTGTAAGAGCCAAGAATGGTCTCTGGGCTTGCTGGTTTGTTTTGTGCACATGCACCCCCAAATTAGAAGGCAGAATCCGCCTTTCTTAGATTTTGGCATAACATGAGTTTCAGAACGTAGATACATATAAGAAAGAATATTCAAATTCCAGTTGGATCTGACAACAAGAGTCAATGAGGATTTCTAGAGATCTTTCTAAAAAGAATATGGAAAACTACATAGAAAAATAGCAAAAGCTTCCATTGGGCTAGTTTTCTGTATCAGTGACGAGAAATAATCCTCCAGACAAATAGTTTGAAATTCTCAAATTCTCTGATTATGACACATTATTGAACACATTTCTTTACAAACAAAAATCAAAACCAAAGCCAAACCTGTCCTGTGTGACTGGGAAATAAAGAAGATAATCGATTCCATTCACTTTTATTTTTCCACTTCCATGCTTGTAAACAACTGCTTCTGCTTTTGCACTCTTTCTTTTACCTTTAAAAATGCAAAATTCCTGTTAGTAAAAATCTTAAGACCAGTGTTTTTGCAGAATAACAATATATAATGCTGTTCACAAGAGTTCTAGAACTTACTACAAATCAAACAAAAGTAAAATAGGTAAGCTATACCACAGTTAATGTAATAAAGCTTTTTGTGGGGTCATTTTGTTTTTCAATTCCATTTTAGAAACACTGAGATGACTCCTAATCAGTTTCAACACCAACAGCCATTCATTTTCATAAAAAACAACTGGACTGCGGGTGCAGCTCAAGTGGTAGAGTATTTTCCTGTTAAGTGCAAGGCCCTGACTTCAAACCCTAGTACCACTAAAAAAACTGAAACACATACCAAAAAACCAAAACCAACCAAACAAAAACTCAACCAATTTGCCTATGTATAGTCAATAAAATATTTATAGTAATGTAATTTTTTAAAATATGTGAACAATATAATGAAATAATAAGGGTAGAAATGAATTCTCAGGAAAGGTCTCATTTCTTTGAAAACAGTAGGTGAAAATGAGAAAGGAATGAGGTTACATCTTGATGAGTTGCAAACATATATATTAGGTCAATTCTTAAACGATATACCATGTCAAATGTCTCTGTTCATATATACAGAAAATGTGAGTGAAGGGCCTCGAGTTTTCACACATTACATGGTTTTTACATCTGATATCCAGCTTCATTGAGCATTTTTTATTTTTGAGAACACAGCTGTATTTTATTTTGTTGATTCTACCAGTTAAAATGTGAAAATAAATAAAGTATTGATATGACTGTACAGGTGTATAACCACATTTTTGGGGGGATACTGTAAGTTCAGTTTTTAAAAACTTCAATAGAATCAAAAAACTTGGAAATCCAATGTAGCAGTACTAAGCACAAACAAATCAAACACATAGTAGAGAGCAACAGCAAAAGGCAAGAATTATAGTTTCTCAGTGCTCACTGGTTTATTTTGTTTTCTTCATGGAATGCCATTACCTTCACTGGTGCTAAAGGCCATTCCTTGCTCATCATACTGCACAGGTTCAATCAGCTGCTTTTTTGATTGAATAGTTACACTTCTGCGGAACCTCTGCACAAATTCTTCTTCAGCAGGACCATACTGCAATGTCAATAACTTTTCTAGTAGCCGAATGAACTGCATATACTACAGACAATAAAAATAAAAATTCATTAGAAGATGCAAGTGTAATTGCATTTGCTAAAGTTTTTCTATTTTTATATACTTGATCTTTCCAATGTTGCTTTTCTTGATGAATTTTGACAGGATGACACTTCTGCATCTTCATGCTGCTTTTAAAACAGCGTGCAGATGCATTCCTTTTCCTGTGTGTCTCTAGTGCTAAATCTTTTCTTTGGAGAAACAAAGAAATTTATCATTCAAAGAAAAATCAATTTCTCTGTAGTATGATTATGAAATTGAGATTTAAGTTCATTTTCAAAAAAATATTTAGATGCTCAAGTGCAATTTCCACCCTTTTATTAGCACTGTATCAAAAGGAGCATTAAAAATAATTTCCAGTAAGTTATGTATAGTAAAATGGAAGGAATCTGATTTTGAGAAAATGTACCTCTTAAATTATATTTCGTAATACATTTGGTAAATATATTTTTGGCTGTTCAAGCTGTGTTACTTTAATGTTTATGATTTCCTTTAAAACTGAACAATCAAGCTATTTAAAAATTCAAGAGATACTTGACTTAAAGGGCAACCTCTTGAAATAAATTATCCTTGCTACTCTGTGCATTTTTTTAATAGTTCTTGAACATGTGATTAGAAAGTAAACAACTTGGTATTAACCCCTTAAAATTAGAAGCCAGAATAATCATTCTAAAGTGTTTATGGAGAAGGAAACAACTAATACTTGAGATCCTTAGTTAATATGGATTGTGAAACCCAGTTTTTGATAACCTTATGTATGGTTTTTGCCAATTCTAAAAACCACACTCAACTTTGTCACCACTTGCCTTTATAGTAAAAATCCGCTAATAATTTGAAATCTTTAAGAATCTCATCAGAAAGATTAATATTAAAAGAACTGTTTGGAATACAGCTTCCTGTGAGATAATAAAAGAGGAGATAGTTTTCTAAATAAGGATGACATACTTACCCAGAGTTCCAATCTCCCCTCCACTCACTGGCCTGTGTCCTTTGTTCTCAGCCATCCTTATATATTTTCCACTATTTTTTAAACAGCAAAGGGTCACCACAGATATGACACAGCCTTGCTTGCAAACTAAACTTAAGATCTGAGAAGTCACAAACCACCCCCACCTCACTAAGCCACAAACTTCAGGATTTATTCTGATACCCAGTACCCCAAAAGTATAGAAGATCATCATATACGATGTTTTGTTTTTACAGCTGCATGAAAAGTTTTTAGGGTATTTCCAAAATGAAGAAAAAAACCCTAATTGTATAAAAATTAAAGTGGCCAGAAAACAGAAGGAAACAATGAAGAAGCAAAAAGGTTTTTCAGTTAAATTCAAGTGAAACAACACTTGGCAGTTAAGGTATTGGAAACTACCTCTGATCAACCACTACCCAAATGTCCAACATTTTGTTTAAGCAAATTTCAGCTTTTCCAAATCATTAGTTTCTCCAATATGTTAAGAGAGAAAGAGAGCAACTGAAGTAAATGACTTAAAATCTACAAAAGGCAAGGTGCTAACAGTGTTAATCACTGTCACAGAAGAAAAAAAATCTTTCTTCAAACAATTTGTGAAACATCTCTGCTCAAATCTTCCAGAAAGTCACCTATATTTATAACATCCAACTATTTAAATCTTCAAACATCCTCTGATAATGCCGGGCGAGCATTTAACAAAGTAAGAATGCAATTAAGGCCTTAAGCAGCAGTCACAATCTTTACTGGGCCTAAGATTCAGCTGGGGAGATTATTAACAGGAGGACACTAGGTGTCCTCCCAGTGATTCAGTGCCAGGTCTGGGTGAGGTTTAGCATTCCAACCGACTCTGACACAGTGGTGGGCAGACACCAAGAGGAAGACCACTCCCTCACAGAGTGACACGTGAATGAGGCAAGTAGAGCTGCATACTGCAGGAAGGGAGTCAGGTGCTGCTTCCTTTTCTCCTTCACCTGCAATGACTCCTTGCACTCATCCTTAGCTGGGAAATGAGCTACTGGCCTTACAAGGAACCAAATTCTCACCTGCTGTGCTACACTCCCTAAGACAACTGGCAAAGGACACGAAGACACTTACAAAGGAGGGTGGGGAGACTGGACATGTAGTTGTCCTGATCATACAGAAGAGCCTTGTCCCATAGCAGAAATCAACATGGAATTTTTTTTTTTTTTTTTAAAGAAAAGCTGTCTTAGGAACACCTGCCCCCGAAAAACATTACTATTAGGATCCTTGATATGGCAATTGTCTCCATTCTTATGGTACAAGTCCCCTTAAATTCAAAAGATTCATTACTCACATCTTGATCTGACAGGTTTTCCACCAACATTTCTTCTAGTTCTTCCTTAATCAGCCATCTGCTGCCAATCAGGTCTCTGTTAAAGTATCACATATATTCTCTTTTTAATTAACCATGCAATTAGTTATACCACAAAGGATCCCATATACAGAAGCAATTTATGATTGGAAAACAGATTTCTCATACTGTATAGCAGTACTTTCATCTAAGCACACAATTTATGAGAAATATTACTCCATTTCCTCAATCTACTTTAGAAAAGACACTGATGTGAGTAAATATTTTGTTTGAAAAGTTAAATATGCTACTCTAGAACTCATTTAAAAAGCCACTGGTTTTCACAAATGACTGAGAACAAAGTCATAACTTGAATAAGGTGTATCCAGAAATTTGAGTTTTTTGCCCAATAACAGTGAATGAGTAAGTTGCATAGTTTGATGGATCTGACTTATCACCTCCAAATGGAAGCACAAATCTTGAAATACACACACACACACACACACACACACACACACACAAATCAAGGTAAAAGCTGGATGTAGTAGGGCACATGTGTAATCCCAGCACTTGGGAGTCCAAGGCATGGGAATCATAAGTTGAGGCTACACAGTGAGTTCCAGATCAGTCTGGGCTACAAGGCAAGACCCTATCTCAAAAAAAAAAAAAAAAGCAAACAACAAAACCAAATCAAACAAACAAAAACATGCAAATATGGTTATATACAAAATAATTCAAATTCAAATACTGAATTTAAATACAGAAATTAAATACCATTTGATACATAAATCTGCAATAAGGTCACATAAAAATATCCTCAAAATTTGCTTCCTCTGAAACAAAAATCACCCTGTTTGGAACCCTAATTTTAACGATTAATACTGAAATATTAACACATTAGGGCTTAGGTATGCCAGTAATTACATGCCATGTTTTCAAGTTTACACACATTCCAACGCAAGAAAAGAACTTACTTGGTTTCAGTCTTTTCTGGAAGAGGACCTTTGTAGTTTTCTAACTGGAGTAGCTTTCCATATACTTCCTATGGTAAATAAAATACACATGCAATAAAATAGCACACTGTTACTAATGATACACTTTGTACTTTTTTCCTATAAGTAGTCCTCATTCTAATGTGCCCTCCTCACGCTAACTGCAGAGTAAATAAGACGAAAATGCTTTTAAAGAAAACTATTTCCCAAACTACAGGAAGACAGAGATTTCAGTGAGAATTTAGTATCATGTATCATTGCACACTTTAACAGATTTTAAAAATAAATGTAAAAATTTTACAACTCCACTTCAGGGAGGAGGATTACAACAACAACAAAAACCCTGTAAACTATTTTCCTTAGAGTTTCACAGTGTAAAAATTTCCTTAAGAAAAATCACAGTATATATTTAAACTTAAGACACCTACCCATTAAATTTATGGCATTTACATGTGAACTACTTCTCTAATATTTAATTGTACTTAATGTTTAATTTTACAATGTCTCCCAAGAATTGGAAAGCCTTGTTGACTATGGTTAGCCTGCCTTTAATGTGTGTGGGGAGGGGGGTGGGCTGGAAATCCAACCTGGGCTTCACACATGCTAAGCACATCTCTACCACTGAGCTACAATCCCCAGCCCCTATTTTAAAGGGCTAAGACACTGACTGGGTTGGAACTCCAACTGGGTAGTATATGAAAATATTTTCTATGCACCTGTTTTTAGAAAACGATCCTCAAGTGCTCTGAACAGGTAAAGCCTACCACAAAAGGAATCCAGCTCACTTGTAGCAAGTGGACATCACTGCACACCTGGCCCAGCTGGGTGACAGGCAGGCCTGCAGCAGGATGCTATGCCTGGGTGCAAGGCAGCAAGCGCAGCAGGTACGTGCTCCCCAGCCCTGAGACTTGGAGGGTGCAGAGGCCAGAGATGGTATGGTTTTCACAGCTAGCTAAAGATGTATGATCTAATCAGAATATCAACAATAGCGACAGCCTCCTATGCTCAAAGGGTTTCTTTAATTTTCTGGAGTAACCAAGGCAATAACTGACTTCCTTAAGTAAGTTTTAAGTGAAAATTTGGCCTGCTAATTTAACTCTTTCCAACGACTTTTGAGAAATTTTCACTTGAAAGTCTGTATTTTTAAAAAAATGTTCTTCCACAATGCCATTTCCTTCTAGTGTTATGTTTACACACATAGGAATTTATAAACAATGTAAGTAAAATTGTGAGAAAAAATTTGGGAGAAGTATTAAATTCCATTCATTTAAGAAATGCCTACAATTAGTTATAACCAACAAATTACGTCACTCATACACTCCTTTTTTTGGGGGAGAGGAGTGTTGGGAATTGAACCCAGGGTCTCACACATGCTAATCACACCTCTACCACTGAGCCACAGTGCCAGCAACATATACTTCTTTATAAATAAGAAAACATGTACTTAGCATAGTAGCTGACCCATAGCAATGGTCAAGTATGCTAGCAGGAGACAGAGGGCTTTTTTTTTGCACATTGGAGTTTGAACTCAGGGCTTCATGCTTCATGCTTGCTAGGCAGGTGCTCTTACCACTTGAGCCACTCTGCCAGCACTGACATAGGGCTTTCAAGAGTCAAATAATTTAAATAAGCCTATTGGTTAACCATTTCTACTTATTCTTTCTCTTCTCTATAATAAGATCACTCTTAAGAGTACCTTGGTTAGAGTCCACAGTGCTCTAGAAAAGCAGATTCCATGGCTTCACCTCCCTAAAGAGATTTGTTCTGATTTACATTTTAAAGAATCCTTGAGGGTATAAAATATGCCAGGAACTGTCAACATCACAGATTATCACTGGTAGCTTCTGGTATATTGTTAAGTTTCCACTTAATTTTTAAGGAACACTAGAGAATTAGAATTACCCCCACCTCCACTAAGTTTATATACTGTATTTAATAGTGTAATTTTCAAATATGACAGGAATAACCCAGATGTGAAATGCTGAATCATTAATCACAGCTATGATTAATATTTCATAAAATCAAAGCAAGCCTATCCACCCCTCGTGTCATCAGATTTCCATAATGTATGAGTCAAATTTAGAAGGTGCCTAATTTGAAAATACCAGATGCTCAGGTTACAGAAAAGAAATGCTTAAACTAAACTATTCTCAAAGAATGAGCAATATGATTTTTAGTAGCCTTCTAAAATCTGTTTTGGTTATATTAATCATATGGAAATTTCAATCTTAAGAGAGTAAACAAGTAACACTTCACGTTGGAGGGTAGCATAGAAAAAGTCAACTGCATTTTGTTACACGAAATACATAGTAACAAACTAATAGTAATAATCATTTTTAGATACTAGTTCAGTCACATAACTTGTGTTTATTAAAGAAAACACGGAAAATTGATTTCTTAAATAACCACCACCTCAGTTTTTTGGACACTGGCATAAATAAAATCAAATTAAATAAATATAGATGTCCTCCAGAGATGTTTCTGCTGTGTACTTCAAGTTCCAAGTGACTACTTCCATTGTACATCTCTGCTACTCCTCTGTGAATGCTGTACAGTCTATACATCCATGGTGCAATGCTATTCAACATAAAAAACAGAGTGTCAAATACAGGTCATATGAAAAGCACTCTGGGGAAGTGCAGCCAGGAGTGACAACATCAAAGTGCTTGGAACTCAGCTACTGCATACTTGTATTTTTTCTTCTTAAATTAAAATCACATATTATAATAACAATTGTGCCATTAAAAAAGTAACCTGATTAAAATCAACATAGAGGCAATAAGGTGAATCTGTTTTCTTAAAAAAAATTTTTCCCTAATTGTTATGCTTGGAGCATATAAAATATACAATGGTTACATGTGAGAAAAGTGTACATTAAAGGTACCACTAGAACGGCAATGCCTACTGTTGAATTAATTACCGACTCCTGCTGTCAGGAAGTCTTGAAACAGCATGCAGAGATCCCTTAACACCACTCTATAGCTTTTTAAAAACAGGCACTTTACATAGTTATAAAACAGTTATTTGTATTAGCTCAGTGTTAGAAGGGTCACTATTATACTCCATTTTTAATCACTATATCTCCAGGAGTTTTAAATATTCATCGTAAGGTCACAAAGAGGATCTAGAAACATCTAAACCAAGCAAGAATTTGATGATACTCTACGCTGAGGATGGCTACTGAGCCTGGATTCTCCAAGTCTACTCCCCTGGGCTTTAAGAATTTGAGTTACTTCAATCATTTGAAATAAACTCACAACCTCTGAACAAGCCAGGTACTTCTCTCACAAGGCTAATTATCCCTGTTTCTAAGGTAAAAGGATTAGAAGTACTTGGTTTTCTTCCATGTTTTTAAAGTTTATTCGATTTAACACAATAGTTTAGGTATTTAATGAACTACTTAGTACTTCATTTTAAACATTTGTTTGGAGTGATTTTCATCAACTACCTTCAATCTAAAGAAGTACTTTGAACATATTCCATTATTAAGTGCTTATCGTGTTGGGGCTATACCAAGCCTAAAACTAAGGAGATTTTATCACCTTTCTTTTGGAAAAATGTGTCTGAGCAATGCCCACAAGGACACTAGAGTGCATTCCACATCTTGTACAACCTTTCCCCAGCAGCAGTTTCATGGGATATTAATGGTGTTCTGTCTACAAAGGCTTCCTTCCATGGTCCCTTCTGAAGGCTGTGGGTTAGAGCACAGGTCTCCGCATTCACAGCCTACACAGCTTGCATTCTGCTAGGTATTGTTCCCCAGTACACGACAGGCATATTCCCAAACTGACTTCACTCAGACCCCTTTCTGAAAGAGTATTTCACAGTAAGCACTTTGGGGAAAGCTGCATTAAAGACAGACCTTGACTTAATAAACCACATATGACAAAAGAGTTCCCACTTCACAGTAATGAGTTTTAAGTGATTTTTGCTATGGTTTGGGTAAGTATCCCACTAAGGCCCTAGGTTGGTCCCCAGGGTGGCACTGTTGGGAGGTGGTGGAGTTTGGGGGAATAGGAGGTCTTCTAGTCATTTGCAGGTGTGCCCTTGCAGGACACTGGTCTCTTCCTTTCTCTATTTCACCTCCCTGCCATGGGCAAACAGTTCTACTCTGCCACATGTTCTCCTTGTCAGAGGCCCAAAGGCAACAAGGTGACTGACCATGGACTGAAACATTCACAATTGTGTGCAAAAATAAACCTTTTCCTTTTTCAAGTTGATCTAAGGTATTCTGTTACAGCAATGGAAAAGCTAACACATTTTCAACTCACTTTTAGTGAGTGAATTTTAGATCTAGCCCTTTACCCACTCCCCCAATTAGGCACACAGGGTCTTCTCCTTAGTCTAGTCACAGCTTAGCTATTTGGCTGTACAGTTTTTCTTTTCTTTCCTTCTCTTCCTTTCCTCTTTTCTCTCCCTCTCCATACCTCCTTCCTTCTTTTATATCTGTGCTCAGCTGTTTCAGGAAGTCTTTTTTCTTCTTTCTTTTCTTTCTTCTTCTGAAACCTAAACTGAAGCCCCAATTCATGCCTGAAAAGTACCTAAGTTCTACCAGTTACACAGCTACTCAGGAAATAGGAAGCCATCTATTTGGAGTTTAAAAAAAAAGCCCTACCCATGACATCAACATAGTCTTCTTTACAGTTTTCAATGCTGCTTCAAAAAACTTAGAAATCTTTGATTTTTTTCAAATTATTTGTTATTGTTAAAGAAATTCTTTTAGTATTGTTTTATAGCTTTTTGTTATATATGTATATCATATTAGCAATACAAATTTTATGATAAAATTTGTAATAAATTCTATTTTAATTTTATAATGAAAGTATAATATACATAATAAATTTATTAAATAGTTAAATCTTATCATAAAAGTGGTAAGTTTTTTTATTTTTACTAGCTTTCCCAGGAACCTGAAGACAAATGGATCATTATGTCTACAGGAAAATGGGGGTCTGAACTGACCTTCAAATGAACCTTTAGAATGAGATAGTCATAAAGTGTGAGACCACATGGATTGGCAAATTTTCCTTCATTTTATAATTTCCTATCTTGCTTCATTTCTGAGCAGGAACAATAAATTATATGTTTCTTTTCACTGTCATCTCTCCTTAAAACCTCCCCACTTTTCCACAAAAACTGGATGGATTAAATGTATTTCAACCGGAGACGGTACTCACTACAGCGTTATGTGTTGTCCTTAACTGTAAACTGCACCAGGACTATCCCTTATTAGTTGCTATAAAGTAATATGCACAGCACACTTAATATGTAAATAATCACCAAATACTAAAAAAGACTTAGCATGATTACAGAATATAAGACAGGTTAATCGACTTAGAAAGGTCTCCTCACACAGCTGCACACAGCTCCAGATCTGTTTCCTTGTTAAAAAGCCTAGCCAGACACTGCCATGCCTCATATAATCACAGCTGGTCAAAGACATGGGGAAAACACTTTGGCTTAGAGTCTTTTCCTGTGATAGAGGAAGAAAATTATATCAACAAACACAAATGGTAGCAGCAAAAATTCATTTACAAGTCTTTAAAGCCTGTCAGTCTTCAGGGGCTACTTCCTGTGCAAAGGTGGGGAATGCACAGAGATCACCCAGGACAAGAAGAGGAAGTGCCCCCCCCACCCCGCCCCACTGCTGTGAGGACGAGAACAAAGAAGAGAGAAAACATGTGGATCTTCCAAGTCTCATTAGGTGGACTTTCTGTGTACTGCCCAACTTCCACATGGAAGTGCCTTCTACAAGTTCAATGACAGTGAACATTTAATCGCTAATTCAAGGTTTGCACCTTAGAGGATGGAGATTTGTGTGCTTTCAGAGATGAGATGGGTATGACTACAGTTGTAATTAATGACATCTGCCATCCCTGATGCTGAGGTGATTGGCAAGCATTTAGGAATTACCAAGTTAATGGAAACAAAAGGCCAAGAACTCTTCTATATGTAACAAAACCTACACTACTCATAATGAAAGAATAATTATCAGTAAGACAGAATTTGGCATTTTAGTTGGAGAGTAAGGTAAAATTCTATCCACTAAGAAACCAATCAGTTTCTAAAGCAATATGTTTTAAAACACATAAACAAGCTAAAAATAAAGTTAGGCCCCTTCTACAATATATAATTTCTTCATTATGATGGAATGCAACACAGTATCTCCCCCTTGGGTTGCTCAGTTTCAGCCAAACAAATGCAAATGCTTGTCAGTTGACAGCTGTTTGATAAGGCTCCTCTGCAAGACCTGCATGCTTTACTTTTTTCCGTGAAACTTGGGATGAAAGGCAGAAGGCAGGAAGAGAATTAATGTAGCATACAGTCTAAAGGCAATGCTACAACCGTGATTAAGTAGAAAAGTTAAAAGGCACAGATTTTCCACAGCTTCGCTGCGTGCAACCCATCCGTGTAACAAGTTGACAGGCCTAGCGCGTCAGCTCCATCATCCCCTCCGACAGCTAAAACACAGCACTGCATCCCTTTTCAGAGAAAATTTGCGTCTGCACCATGAAGCGTTGTACATTATTTCTTAGCACTGCAGGGGGCTCAAGTCCATATGGAACCTTCACAAATATTACCACAGATCAAACCAGCGGCGTTTGGAGGCAGATTTGACATACCTATTTAAATGAACAGCAGGGGTCCTCGGGCAGCCTCAGGCTGCGCAGGAGAGAGCCTTGGTGGAAGCCTGAGTTGCAGCTCCATTACTCAGCAAAGACACCCTCTACATTTATCATTCATTTCCTTTCTGCCAGGGCAAGAAGCTCATTTGCCCAAGGTCAACAAAAAGTAAAAAGAAGGCTTTCTTTTTTTCCCCCAAGAAATAAATGTACCTGACAAGTGGGGATTTTGTCCTTTGGGTGTGTGGAGCACAAACAGACAGCAGATAAGCCTAAAAAGCAGAGTAAACGTGTGCATTGATTCAAGCCACTGAAATCTGACTGGATGAGGGAAGCCCCATAAATATTTCTGTAACTTGAAAAAAAATCATACCATGGGTAAAACAGAACTTGACATCGTGCTCTAAGAATAAAATAGATTCAGCCCTTTAAAACTGGATACTATTATCCAGCCCTTTTTTCATGGTAATTCTAGGGAACTCTCCCAAATTTGCATACTATCAAGAACAGCTCTGAAATCAAAACAAGAATTGTTTATAGCACTCTCAAAATCAGGTGGAAGTTGAAGTGTAAGAAGATCAATCAAGTTTTCTGGACCCAAATTCTCCACTCATACATTGCATTAACCCATGACGAGAAAAAATTTCATATGAATAACAAAAACAAAGTAGAGATAGCACTCGAGGTAAATTAAATGCCTCACAGTCCTGACAGCACTGTATTCTTGGCATACACATGTACTATAGATGATTTCAGTTTGTAAGTAAAAGCACTTTAAGGACAATTTTGATACATATTCTACAAAGTTTACCTTTAGCAAAACTAAAACATAAAAATATAAGCATTTCATCACCTTTAGACATCTTATTTTTGTCCATTATGAAATACGAGAAACTCTGAAGCTGAGAACTATTTAGTTTTGTAGCTTACAGTTCATATTATTTATCATGAATATAACATACTTACATGCATTAATGAATAATAAGATTGTTTGCCAGTATAGAAGAGAAAATGAAATGGACGGCCATCTTCTCCCCACTGGATTGCTAATAAAAAGCCACATGAAAAAAATTAAAAACATACACAGAGGTAGACCAAACAGCTGTATTAAATTGCAGTATGAGACACATTTATAATTTTGATTAACTTTTAAAAGTACAAGAAATACTAGTATTTACAATTCATGTTTAGTTTCGCATATTTAATACGCAAATGTTTAGGATTTCATTAGTAGCATAAAACAGTCTATATTTAATAAAATATTCCACTATGAGAATTTCTGCAATTTATTTCAAATGAAAATACATAAAATAGCTCAATTTGCCTATTTAGAACAAAAAAATTCAGGTTTGGCTACAGAAACTATGTACTCCCATGCTCTTCAAAAGGAAAATGGTAACCAATAATGCAGTAGATTTAGAAAATTCAAAATTCCATGAATTTTCAATCAATATAACAAATTTAAAAACTAAAGAACTATTTTTCTATGCCACATCATTTGTTTCAACTTGTGGAAATCTACCTTTGAGAGTTTAAAACCTCTACAAGGAAAAGGCCCTCAGAAAGGAGCTACATATAATTCCTTATGAAATACAAGTGGTCCCTCACAGCTAAAAACCACTGAACTAATGAGAAATGGAGTTACTACAGTAGGCAAGCCAACACTAACTCCACGTCCTTTGACTTGTTTTTCTGTTAACTATTCGTAGCAACTTCTTTACAGTAAAGATTATACTCCTAGGTCCACTGCATGAGTTGTAAACTATTTTCTCCCAGTCTACCACATCCTGTTATTTTTGTTTATGGTATTTTTCATAATCAATTAGTTTAAAATATGTCTATCATCAAGTTGAATCTGTTGCTTTTTCTCTATGACATTATTTCTTAATCTTTTCTTCATTATTGATCTTTCCACATTTTTGCTCTGATTGTCCCCTTCGCGTGACATTTTATTATCACAATATACTATATGTTTGCGATGTATGCTGTTGGACCTTTGAAGAGGCAGAAACCACTGTAACAGCTACATTTCCACATCTCCTATGTCTCTCTTGAGAAAGCATTCTTTAAAAGATGTTGAGCTCTCGAAAGCTATTTCCCTCTGGAATTCTTACTTGTTTTCAGATGTAATAGTTAATCGATCTGAAATTTATGTCTGTGAAACAGAAAGCCAAGTTTTATTTTATCTCTGCAAAGAGAGCAGTCATCATACAGTTTTTTTTATTGTTGTTGTTGTTTTAAAATAGTAAGCACTTTTCTACTGAAAACTCTATCAGCTGCAAGACCATCTTTCACTTTATGTGAAGACACTTAAAATGGAGGAGCAAATGTCTTAATGTATGGTGAAAAAAATCAGTCTTGATTGGGTATTTAGATGGAAAGTTAAAACTGTATTTCTTATTTGTCAATAGTTTATGGCTGTTTTAAATAAAACATCTTCATAGACATCATGAAATTCTTTATATTTTTCAGTATCTGTACCTCTACAACAGATACAAGGGATTTTCACTGAACTGTTGAGTCAGTTAGTCAAAAGTGACAAAAAGACAAACATCATGGATGTAGATGACTACTGTTAAACTTAGGCTTAACATTAATGTGTATGTGCACATATAGATTTTATAATGTACATATATACACATATATAAATTTGGTTTCACTGAATCTAAAGACTTAAATTTTAAATTCTTAAAATCTAAGGATTTTAAGACACCCATTTTAATATATTTCACACAAAGGAAAAAACTGTCAAACCATAGCAGGTATCAGAGCTCCACTGAAAAGTGCATTCTGTATAAGGATATGTATTGAAAGCTGTTGAAAAATGGGGGGTGGGAGTGAAGGAGTAAGGGAGAGCAATAGAAGGAGCTGAACTGACCAAAGTAAAGTATACTCACAGCAGGGGTATATCGACAAACCCCTTTGAACATCGACTTAGAAATTAATAACCAAAGACAGGACGGTAAACTAGGTACAGTATGTGCTGTAACTTATGGGAGGAGGGAAGGTGAATGAAGGAGATTAAGGTGAGGGAATATTGTGGATAGACCTCCTATACGTACACGAAATAGAACAATTAAACCTCTTGCAATTGCTTGAAGTGGGGCAGAAAGGGTTTGAGGGGGAGAGATTGTAGGGGTGATCTTATGGATGTACAATGAAAGCCTATTTGGAATTATCACAATGAATCCCCCTGTACAATGAACATATCCCAATAATTTGTTTTAAAAGTGCATCCTGTTGTTAAAGATGCTAAAATTTGAAAAACTGTGTCTTAGAACTCACAAAATCCAGCATGAACAGATGCTGACACTTAATCTCTCTCTCTGTCCATTGGTCTATCTGTCCTGCCACAACCACCATTTCACTTGTCAGCTTTTTCCTGCATTTCGATACCACACAGAGTAACTCCTTACATTACCCTTTTAAAAAATTTCTTGCTGCTCCTTGCACCTTGAAACTTAGCAAGTATTCCCCAAAATCATACTAAGACTCTGGAAACTATTCAGATTTTCACTTATGATCTTTACATTTTATTATCTTGTATATAAATCTTACATATTTTGTACATTTTATCTGTACTTATAAATGGCTTATTTTGTTGCTCCTCCCACTTAGTTACCAACATAGGTGATGTTAGATTTCAAATAGGTAATGCTAATTATACAAGTAACATACTGTTTCTATAAGGTTAAATATTACAAAATGCTTAGTTAAGAGGGTTAATGGGAATTATATTGTTCTAGACTCTTTCTGTGCACCTACATGTGTACGCCTGCATGAAACAGTATAGTTTGCTTGTTTTTAGAAGCAAACATAAGTTTGTTCTTAAGAGTGAGATTTTTGCCACCTGTACAGATCCCATGGTATGACTCTGACAGTTTATCTAGAAATCTTATAATGAACATTCAGATTATTTCCAATTTTTTGTTGTCCCATAATATTTAAATTTTTTAATCTCTGGGCTAAACAGTCTCTTGTTATTGTTTTATAGGACATTATTTGTGGTCTCTGATATTTCCAAATGTCTACTAGCTTTTACTTTCTTCATTTACACATTGCCCATTTTCTTATTAAGCTCTTTTCACTGTTACTAATTTGTAAGAGTAGTTTATTCTAGGTTTCAGCCCTATGTCATATTTCAAATTTGCTAGTGTCTTTTTGTCAATGAGAGGTTTTCCCTTTCAAAACAAGAAACTTATCATGGTCCTTTGCTTTTTTGTGACTTAATTACCTAATATGTCATTAAAAAATATTGATAGCTGTACATCTATCCTTCTACTAGTTGCTTTATTTAATTCTGTTCTAGAGATTAAATTTCCTAATTCCAAAGACACACAATGACTTTTTAAAGTCTTAACCCAACTCTGTCATCTTCTGGATAAAATCTATTTTTAAACATTCCTTTAAATGGATTAAAAGGGACCTGCACACACATGTCTGTATGTATATGTACACATGTGTTTATATATCTGGGATTTAGTGTTTTTAAAATGGTTCTTATCTGCCAAAATACATAAAGACGGAGAAATTCATTTGCTATCATTGAGACTGTCATGATACCTAGATCATCATTACCTCCAACTCACACTGATTTCTTTGTGTGTAGTTTTGGCCACCATGATATCATTAATTGGCAGAACATTCATCTGAGTTCCACATCAACATTTTACTCTGTACTGTGGCACTTTCTATAAAGGGGCATCATAAAAAATTTTCAGAACAGGCTGGTGGAATGGCTCAAGTGGTAGAGCACCTTCCTAGCAAGTGTGATGCCCTAAATTCAAACCCCAGTACTGTCAAAGAAAAATTTTTTCAGAACAATTCAGTTCTCACATTTTGAGTTCAGATACTAAAGTAATGATAATCTTCTAAAATTCTAATAGAGTCTTTAGTTTATGGTTTTTCACTGCCTCAGTGGGCAAATATAACATCTATGACTAATAATTGATTTTCCTAATTTGTGTTTCTTTTACTGCAGTGCTGGGGATAGAGCCCAGGGTTTTGCCCATGCTAGGCAAATGCTCTACTACTGAGATTCAACCTCAGCACTTAGTTTTTTGAGGCAGGGTTTCACCATACAGCCAGAGTGGTCTTGAGCTTGCCTGTGCAGTCCTGGCTGGCCTTGAACTTGCATTCCTTCCTGACTCTCTGCCTCCAGAGTAGAGGGATTATAGGCATGCACAATGCCTACCACTGTCCTCTTAAATGACAAATCCCTAAGGTCAAGTTATGTCACAGACAGAAGGAAAATAACTGTATGTTAAAATATCCTGTGAATGTTATTATTTGAAATTCTTAATACTGGGTTGGGAACATAGTTCAATGATAGAACACTTGCCTAGCATACATGACGCCTTAGATTCAATCCCCAGTGCCACCAAACAAAACTTAATGTTCTCTTTTCTTTTTTCCTTTATCAAATCTGCCAAAAGTTGATTGATTTCACTGGCTGTTTCAAAGAGCTACTTGGTTTTATTTATCATACTTATTTTTAAAAATCTGTTTATCACGGTCATCAGTTATTCTTTTACTGACTTCCTAAACTGAATACTTAGCTCTGAAAGCTGAACAGTTTATTTATTTTTAATCTTGCTTAATTACTAATAATACATATTTGTCTGAGGTGATGGTATATGGTTGACTGACTTCATATACGTATATGAAATAGAACTAAGAAATCTCTTTCAATTGCTTTAAGTGGGGCAGGGACGGGGATGATGGGGAGAGATGATGGGAGAGCGATGTAACTAATGTACAATATAAGTCTAATCAGAATTGTCACTATGAATCCCCTCTGTATAACAAATCTATTCTAATAAAATTTATTATATATATATATTACATTTGTCTCTGCATGATACAATGTCCATAAATCCATAGGATTTGATAGGAACTGTTCTTATTGTCATGTATTTCTATGTAGTTTGTAATCTAATTTTGATTTCATCTTTATCAGTGATATAATTTTAAGTCAGAAAATCCAACTGACAGGATTATCTATGTTTTGGACTTTTTAGGTTTTCCCTATGACCCATTTCACAATAATTCTATTAATATTTCATAAGAATTTCCTTTGAAAGTTTACTCTTTGTATTTGTATTGATAGCTATAAAATCATGCTGCGTTATTCAAATTCTTTATAGCCTTAGTTAACAGCTTTTGCTTTAGAGCATTCCAATGCTAAATGTTTAGTGCAAGAAGGTTCATGGTCATCAAATCCACTTAGTGGTTTTATCAATATAAATTAACATTCTTGTCTCACTGAACTATTCCTCACCCTCTCTGAATTCCATGCTGTCTAATATTAAAGGCTCAATCTGGTGAATATCTTCATTTTCCTCAATATTTTCAGTACTTTGCAGAGCATGTTTTTTATGTTAACTCAATCTAGAAGCTTTCACCTTTTTTTTGGTGGGACTAGGATTTGGATTCAGGGCTTCGCACTTGCAAAGCAGACACTCTACCACTTGAGCTATACCGCCAATTCATTTTGCCCTGGTTATTTTGGAGATGGGGTGTCTTTCGAACTATTTGTCTGGGCTGGTCTCAAACTGTGATCCTTCCCTTCTCAATCTCCTAAATAGCTGGATTACAGATCCGAACCACTGGCACCCAGCTCATCTTTCAATAAGGAAAGTGGTAGTACATTACAAATCCATCTGAATCTAAAGTTCACTCTTAAGTCAGTTTGTCCTATACTTACAAAGCACAATGAAACTGAGAGGTAGGAAAGCAGGCAGCAAAAACCATTTTGCTAATTCTAAAAGAATAATAATATTGCTTTAATATGATTAGCTGCAATGTAAGATAATCCTAGCAATACTGCCATGTTTCCAAAATTATACACTGGCATTTGGCAGGGATAGACAGAAGTTTCAGTTGTAACATTGCAGCTGCTAGTAACAATGAAGTTCTAATACTGTGAAGGTGTATGATTTGAAAGAATGAACAAGTCTCAGAGGATAAGAAGGGACACAACTAACACAGAAAAAAGGAGAAGCATAGGTGGGGAGCTAAAAAACAGATGAGTCAATAAAAATAAAAAAGGGGCTGGAGAAGGAATCCTGCCATTTCCAACATTTGTAGGAAAGCCACTAAGTACAGGTATGTGTCTGCTACACACAGTTGTAGTCTAAAACTGAGCTACAGCTTTGAAACTGAGGTGTGCTTTTAATAAGTCTTTATTTGTTTCCCTAGAAGCTATTATTAAACTGATGTTACAAATTTTATAATCAATCACATTTAATAATTAAGGAAATAGGAAAGATAGGACATAAATATTCAAAATAAAAGTTATTTCAAGAGTGAAGTTGAACACAATTAAAACTTAAGCAGAAACATAACATTAAACAAAGATTCTATGGAAGTATTTGCTTTCTTAGTCAACTCTAATTCATACTGACTAATTAATGCTGCCTGCACACTGAGCTCTCAAGCTATTCTCTGCTATTCCCACACATTTCTGCTGCAGAGTTACATGTTACTAAAAGCCAGTTGCATTTACCCCTAACCTATTTATCACAGGCACTTACTTCTGTAAGTACCGGACATGAACATAAACAGATTAAATATGAGCACAAACAGTAAAGATAGTTGCTGCCTATGAAAACTAAATTGAATGCTTTAGACAATTGCTTTGGGATAAAAACTGCTAAAGAAAAAAAGCTGTGTTCAACTTTAGTGTGGCTGAAGGAAAAAGTTCATGGAAATATAGAAATGTTCTACACTAAATTTCTTAGGAAGTTTATGTTCTTTGTTCTACCAGAGAGAAAGAACAGATACAAACTCAAAAATTTCCTCCAGCGATATAGCACAAAACTGATGAATACGTCTAAGTTTGCATTCTGTGTATTTTTTTAAAGAGTTGTTTTTTTAGCATTAATACTTTTTAAATTAATTGACAACTACCACAAGTCTACACTGGGCAAGAGGCTTCTAATGCACTGGTAATTATAGTATTAAACTCCCTGGCAACTTTAAAGCTTGTTTGGATGTTCTTCAAGTGTTTAAAAAAATACATTTAAAAGATAAAGACAAAAATCTTTTTAAAAGCCAGAGAAAACAGAGGAATGAAATATGGCTAGCAGCTGCTCATCAGAAACAACAAAAGACAAGATGATGGAATTACATCATTAAAGGGCTGAAAGAACAAAAAGGGAAAAAAAAATCTATATTCAGTGAAAATATGCCTCTAAAATGAAGGAATAAAATATAAATAAAAGTTGAATGAGTTGTTAGCAGATCTGTACTAAATTCTTCCTCAAAAAGGCATATTAAAATGCAAATAATTAGTGTGACATTAGTGTAAGCATGAGCTCTAATCTGATCTACTTTTAATATCATTAATAAAAAGAAACAGCTTGCAAACTCCGGTCATTTGTTATTAGCTGCAAAGTATTTCTGACCTATTTCATGATGACCAGGACAAAGGAGAGCAACTCTACGATATGTGAGCAATTGCTGATATATATAACCCAACACTGTAACAAAGAAAAAGCTTATTCTTCAGCAAACTTACCTTTTTGTTTTGGAAAAATCTGTTCAGGATGCTGTAAAATAAATTTAAAATGTTATTAGATAATTACTGTAACATATAAAACTAAGTGAAAAAAATTTAAAAGTAATTAGGATAACTACCTTCATTATTGGCCTGGCTCGTTTCTCAAACAGACCACTTGGAAAAAGGTAAGTGATAGCTCTCTGAAAATAATATATAATGGTTAATTAACAACTGTTATAAAATAAGCTTATCCTATAACTAACAGTTATTGAATGCCTATGATCAGCTAGACACTGAACTAGAGTTCCATATGCATTTTCTAAGTTCATTTTTTAATTGGGATAACATCACTAAATGCACACCCCGAAAAAGAAAAAAACCTGTAATTATTAAAGTGGTTATTGAGAACTTTCAAGTGTCCCCTTCAAATGGGTCACTCCTTGAATGTGATAACATTTAGAATCTGTTTCTGAAAAGGGAAATTAGAGGCCCTCCCATATAGCTTCTGTGGTAATGTGCTCAGGGCAAGCACTCCAATTCCCAGCTGGGCATGCAAATGCCAAAGACAAAATCCTGGAAAGAGCAGGCTCTAAGACTCATCCACTGTGTTATTCAGTTTTCTGCTACTGTTACAAATATCTCAGAGAAACAGTTTAAAGGAGAAAAGATTTATCTGGGCTCATGGTTTTAGTTGAAGGTCAGCTGGATCCATAGCTTTGGGCTGAGCTGAGGCAGAATATCATAGAAGCAGGGGGGGTAGGCAGGGACTATACACCTCATGGTGGCCAGGAAGTAGGAAGAGTCAGGAAGGAACCAAAGACAAGATATGTCCTTAATAGTCATGCCTACAGTGACCTACTTCCTCCTGCTAGGTCCCACTTCCTAGCACCACCAGCTAAGGACCAAAACAAATGAGCCTTTAGGAGACAGTTCATATTTAAACTGTGACATCCACCATGGCACCCATGATGGTTTTAACTGCTCTTTTTAATTTTTCCTAGAAATTTTATTGTATTTTTTGGTGCTGGGGGTTGAAAACAGGGCCTCACACATTAGATACACACTCTACCAGTGACCTACAACCCAGTCCTTCCAGAGTTCTTAAACTACACTCTTCTCAAACAAGTCCTCTTAAGTATCTGTTTCTCATTAGGTATGCTATTGACCTTTTGGGCATGACAACTCAATTACAAGGCAACCTCCCCCACCCCCACCCCCACACACTCACTGAATATTCAGGCCCTTTTCCAATCTATGCCAGTGCCTGTGACAAATTTCACCCTACACATTTCCAAATGTCCCCTAGCAAAGAGTACTGCTTCCCACTTGTGAGTAACTTCTTAAAACTTGAAGTCTTCATCAACAACTCTCCTCTCAATTATTCAATTACTGACAATACCATTTGCACTCCCCTTCTTGATAGTGTCAGATAAAAGAGGTCTGTGGTCTGGGATTTTAGAATACCAGCTAAACACCAAATGCGCTAGTAACACACTGAAACACAGCACTGCTCTTTACAGAGTCTGCTCTCAGCATGGGCTTTCCTCTGCCCAGCCACACAGTGAATGTGCTGGACCAGGTTCTGGCTCTGAAAAGAGGAGCCAGATTAGGGTGTAAATTCAACTGTATCAGGGGCCTACTGTGTATCTGGGCCAAGATTCATTCTCTTGATCAGCCTGTACAAACTTAAACAAATTTAGAACAAACACCAGAGTGCTAATTTAATAAATCTAAACATCCCCTTTTCCTTTCTTCCCTGCATTAGAAAGGGATCTTTTATTAATACTTTTATTGATACTAAGACAACTGACTGCCATTCGGAAAAATAAAAGTGAATCGAAACCTCACACATATAGAAGAATAAACTCCAAATGACTTAGAAAACTAAATATACAAAATAAAACCAAACAAGTCCTAGCACTCAACATGTTTTTTTAGACCCTAAATATGGAAAAGTCTTTCTTACCTATGACTCAAAGTTCAAAAGCAATCAGAAATTGTAATTTTTAAAATTACATTAAAAAATAAAACATAGTTCAAATGTAGTCATAAAATTGGAAGCACACTATTGGTGAGGTTATAAAGAACCATCATGACACACTGCTGGTGGGAGCACCAAATGGCGCAACCTTTGCAGTGAAAGCTTGGCACTTTCTAACAAGAACTACATGCAAAGAAATCCCACTTCTACAGACTCACTCACGGACACACACACACACACACACACACACACACACACACACACACACATCAATGCAAAGTACAAGTCTGTGGAACCAAGTCCTAGACAGCCATAAAACAAATCCACCAAAATGCAAAAGAAATGTGCCTAGAATGCTGTTTTGGTATAAGAAAGAGAAAGAGAAATAGAAAATATATATGGGTATAGGGAAAAAATATACACAGGCCTCTTTTTGCTCTTACAGGCACAAGAAGGACAAAGCAGAGACCAATAAGAATCATTATCTCTTACAGTGTAGGTGGGAACAGGGTGAGAATAACCCAGAGACGAAGACAAGATTCTCCTGGATATATCTCTGTATATAGTCAAATTTGAAGCATGTAAATATTTTACATATTAAAGAACAAAACTGGCAAGAGAAGCTGAAAAATCTAAGCAAAAAAACCCCTAATTTATAATTTAAAAAACTGCAAAAAAATCAATTTTACTTGGTAGGCTTATTGTCAGTTATATTATTGATATAATTCTGAAATGCTCTGTGCATATTGTAGCAAAGAGCAAATAAATAAATGTATTAATTTGGGGGGCAAAATTTTACTGTAGAACAAAAGAGATTCAGATATAAAAGAAGGGGGAAAACTTTAATATGAAGTGTAATTTAGATAAACCAACATAAAAAATTTCCTATAACATTTAAAAAAACGTTATTTCCTATTTCTGTCCTCTTGAAAGAGCACAGAGGCCCCCCCCAAATCTTGGTTTTCAAATATAATAGCTCAGTATAAAGGACAGAGTACACGGCAGAAAAGGCTAGTTGTAGGTCATTCTTATTAGTTCCTAAGACAGAGAAAGCTTAAAATGAGCCTGAGATATCTTTCTACGCCAAAAAAAAATGAAGTGTTCAATGGGCTGCCACTGGCCAAAGATGGGACAATCTGAATATCAAAAAGAACAATTACAATGCCATATAGCACTCAATAAGTGGGTGTATGTATATTTAAATCAAACACACTAAGGGGAAGGGAGAAAAAGAAAGCTTCTTTATAGAACAATACCAGCAGTAAAAGTAGAAGGGATGACAGAAGTAGAAAACCATTATCTTACAAGTTCCAAGTTAGACATCATTCAGTCAAGGACCATCAATAGATGATAAAGCACTGCCTGAGAGGTTCCCAGGAACAGAAAATGCACAGGGACTCAAAATTATCATCCTGCAGATTATTTACTACACAAGGGGAAATGTGCTTTTACAAGAGGTCCACTGGTCACCACCTCAATTAAGCAAAGAATTAGCCATCTCATCATCAACAGTGGGACAAGATATGTACCTCCTGAGAGAGTGCTTAAGAATCATACACAATGTCACCTAAGCAGTATCCTTTATATATTGTAGATCTAATCACAATGGAAGCAGTTAATAAGCCAAAATGTGGGACAACTGTACAACTAACTGGCCTAGATTTTACAAAAGAACTATATGGCTATAAAGGCAATCTCTGTGTAAACTGCAGAAATTTAAATATAGACTACATACATATATGACACTGTAGAATTGTTATAATTATATTAGACGTGACATTGGTATTATGGGAGACAATGGTATGAAGGACGTAAGTATTGAGGTGTTAAGAATATGCTGATATATTTAGGAGTTAAGCTTATGATACCTGAGGTATCAGTCCAAAATAAGTTTATAAACATAGAGAGGCAAAGGAAATGTGGTAGAATGTTAATAGCTGGCAAATCTATGTGAAGCTTATGCATGGTATGTCTGTATTCACTGAACTTTCAAATCCAATGGAAATGTGAAAAACGTCTAAGTACAAAGGTGTGGAAAATATTAAAAATTTCAAAATAAGAAAGATTTCCCCACACCCAAACTGTCTCATTTACAGCACCATGGCCAGTAGCCTTCAGACCCTGTCCTTATGGTCCACCCAACAGCTCCAGAGCTACCAGAATCCTAGGAAGAAAGCTACTGAACAAGGTGGTGAAAACAGCACATGGCATGGAACACTGAGCCTAAATCTTCACTTAGGGCAAACTCACTAGTCACAAGTGAGATAGAACACTGGTGCTCAAACAAGCATCAAGCTATCAGAGGCATCATTTTCAAGTATAAATTACTTTTAACTTAGGTGATTGCTGAATAGAATCTTAGAAGAAATTGAAAACTGAAGAGTTCCATCCCATAGATTTCTCATGAGCACTAAGACTTAGAAAAGTCACTAGGAAGTTAACTTGTAGAACCTGAAAACCATCCATAGGCAGTTTTTAAAAACAAGTCAACAAAGAATCTGCTGAAGTATTCTGAAAATTCAACTGAAAGGACCAGGAAGATTACTTCACTTTAAGAATAATTATCTTAGCTAAAAGTAAGTTAGCCCATTTTTAAAATTTAAAATCCTTCACTATATTAGGTACTACAATATGAAGTACTGTACCAAATATTATGATATTAAGATAATGTCAAATTTAAAAAACCTCACAAATTTAGTAAAACAGTATGAAAACTGAAAGATGGAAGAGAACAGATTGAAAAAGGGAATATAAATAAGAATAAGCCAATTGTTTGTAAACCAAGTAACAAAATATATGTAACAGAAAAGATGGGTTCTCACCATGCTGCCTGCTATGTGTTTAGTATGCACAGGACAGTACTGGCATGACCTTTCCATTTGTCTCCTATGGACAGTCTATACAGATTTTTTTTTTTTCAAATTCTGAAGGAAAAAAAAGGACTACCTGACTTAATGAAAAAAAAAATTTTTTCTGCTTTCTGGGTTCACTAATTACCAGTTAATCCTTTTGAAATAAATAGTGGATATATAAAGAACAAGAGAATTTTGAGTGTTAGTGTTAAGTTTGTTTTGGACAGAGCATTATGTGCTATAAAACAGGAAAATCTTCACTTTCACTACACTGTAGAAGAAAAGGAGTAGTGAACAAGAGAATAAGATGAAAGTGTAAGTAAGAACATGCAATCCTTACTGTCTTATTGTATGTTTTTAAAATATC